ACAACAGGACATTTGCACTGGTGGTGAGGATAAGCAAGAGTGGCTTGTAAGAAACAGCTAAGAGATATGTAGGCGCTACAGTGATTGGAAAGGAGAGTGGCAGACTGAATCAATCCATAGGTTATGTGTGATGTACTTGTGCTCTTTGTCTTTTAAAAAAAAATTTGTTCCGGGGCTGTGACACACGGCGTGCAGAATCCTAGTTCCCTGACCAGGGATCAAACGTGGGTGCCCCCTGCGTTGGAAGTGCAAAGTAGCCAGGGAAGTGCCTATCCTTTTAATATAAGTTCAGTTCAGTTCAGTCGCTCAGTCGTGTCCGAGTCTTTGCGACCCCAAGGCCTGCAGCACGCCAGACTTCCCTGTCCATCACCAACTCCCGGAGCTTACTCAAACTTATGTCCATCCAGTCGGTGATGCCATCCAACCATCTCATCCCCTGTCATCCCCTTCTCCTCCTGCCTTCAATCTTTCCCAATATCAGGCTCTTTTCCAGTGAGTCAGTTCTTTGCATCAGGTGGCCAAAGAATTGGAGTTTCAGCTTCAACATCAGTCCAATAAATATTCAGGACTGATTTCCTTTAGGATGGACTGGTTTGATCTCCTTGCAGTCCAAGGGATTCTCAAGAGTCTTCTCCACCACCACAGTTCAAAAGCATCAATTCTTCGGCACTCAGCTTTAATATAAGTAAATAACCCAAATAGATAAGTGTTTTGCTATTCATATCAGGCCAGTCCATAAGATAGTAGAGAGGATAAGCTGCTGGAACAAAGTCACACAAAAATACAGCGGCTCAAAAAATAAAAGTTTCTTTTTCTGTCCCTTAGCAGAACAGAGACAGGTGGGTAATCCTGGAAAAGCGTGGCTGCTCTGTCCAAGATCCTGGGTTTCTTCTATATTGTTATTTCATTCCTGGTGTGTGTTCCTGTCCATGTTCTCAAAGCTGCTCACACCACTGCTTTCTGCTCACAGGAAAGAAATGAGAGATGTGGAAGACAAGCAACGTCCTTTGGCGAAAGTGACTAGGAAGTTGAACATGGCACTTTTGCTCACATCTCATTGGTCAGAATCTGGTCACATGACCTTGCCTAACTGCAATGGAGCTGGGAATTATATTCTCTATTTGGATACCCACGTGCCCTTCCCAAAGGGTGGTGGGGTTGAGGTTTTATAGCTAAAAGGAAGAATGAAGTAGAAGAGTAACTGGAACAACTAGAAAAAGTTAGTTACAAAGATTTTCGATAACAAATCTCATGAACGTTTATAGAGTCTATATTAAGATAAAATATATATTTTATTGTGTTCTGGTCATTACACGTACTTTTAGGTTTGCTTACTATAATATGCTGAATGTAAAATTAATTCTTGAGTGAGTCTGATTATAGAGCTGGGTTTATTTTACTTGAGCTTTGTGGTAACAGTCTGTTTTTTTCTACCTGTATATACTACAGGTTTTACCTCCAGTTTTACAGTTGCCATAAAATTTTCCTTATTTTCTTTAGCTCTAAAGCTTACATTTACTTTCTAATAGCTACTATTTTTGTCATCTAATATTGATTTGAATGTAGCATGGCAAAGGGTAAGTAAATATTTTGATGTCTTCCAAAACAAAACTTAAATAAGGGTCTGAACTTAGGTGGGTGTGAGTATCTTTGGTTCATCTCTGAGCTGGAGGCAAACCACCCTTGGTCTTCTTTATTGCATAACTGGAAATCTGGTTTAGTTTTATGGATTAGCATGCACCATGGAGTCTTAAAAACAAAGAGGAACTAAAGAACCTTTTGATGAAAGTGAAGGAGGAGAGTGAAAAAGCTAGCTTAAAACTCAACATTCAAAAAACTAAGTCATGGCATCTGGTCCCACCATTTCATGGCAAATAGATAGGGAAACAATGGAAACAGTGACAGACTTTATTTTCTTGGGCTGCAAAACCACTGCAGATGGTGACTGCAGCCATGAAATTACAAGATGCTTGCTTCTTGGAAGAAATGCTATGACCAACCAAGACAGCATGTTAAAAAGCAGAGACATTACTTTGCTGACAAAGGTCTGTATAATCAAAGCTATGGTTTTTCCAGTAGTCATGTATGGATGTGAGAGTTGGACCATAAAGAAGGCTGAGTGCTGAAGAATTTATGGTTTTGAACTGTAGTGTTTGAGAAGACTCTGGAGAGTCCCTTGGACTGCAAGGAGATCCAACCAGTCTACTCCAAAGGAAATCAGTCCTGAGTATTCATTGAAAGGACAAATGCTGATGCTGAAACTCCAATTCTTTGGCCACCTGATGCGAAGAACTGACTGATTGGAAAAGAGCCTGATGCTGGGAAAGATTGAAGGCAGGAAGAGAAGGGATTGACAGAGGATGAGATGGTTGGATGGCATCACCAACTGGACTGACATGAGTCCGAGCAAGCTCTGGGTGTTGGTGAAGGACAGGAAAGCCTGGCGTGCTGCAGTCCATGGGGTTGCAAAGAGTTGGACACGACTGAGCGACTGAACTGAACTGATGGAGTCTTGTACAGTTACTTTCACAGCATAAATGTTCAGTAAATATTAGTTGAATAATTACATAGGGTTCCTCAAAGCTTGTTAGAAATTGCAACTCCCTTTGACCAAAGGTGACCTGAATTAGTGTTATGCCATCTTTTTCAGGCAAAAGTGTTTGGTATTTTTTGTTTGTTTAATAATGAGATTGCATGCGTGTGTACTGAGTTGCTTAAATTGTGTCAGACTCTTTACAACCCTATGGACTGTAGCCCGACAGGCTCCTCTGTCCATGGGATTTCCCAGGCAAGAATACAGGAGTGGGTTGCCATTTCCTTCTTCAGGGGATCCTCCTGACCCAGGAATCAAACCTGAGTCTCTTATGTCTCCTGCATTGGCAGGTGGGTTCTTTATGACTAGCGCCACCTGGGAAGCCCTAGTAATGAGATTAATAGCCTATATAATGCAAATGAATAATGTGTTGGTAAATATAGGAAAAAAAACTATAGAAATTTCATTCATTGTAAGAAAAGATTTCTCCTTGCTTTAAACAGCAAAATAAAATAAAAGCGAAGCAACCAACACAGTGCCTTGCATAATAGATTCTCAGTAAATAGTAGTCACAATTAATCACCTTTTATGTTGCTCCTGAGGTCACAGGACAAAGAATTAATAAGTTTCCCACCGGTACAAAACAACCATAACTTTCTGGCAGTCACCAGTCATCCTCTATGTTAATAGGGATCAAGTTCACTGTCACAGTGTATAGAAGAGATTCTAATTTGGAGAGGCAGGAAGAGCTGCTTTGAGAAACACTTTCTCTACACAAACAGTACATGGAAAATGCAAATACGTCCCCAGATTTTACTCTAGTTGTGATACCCCAGGGAACGAGGGGAGCTTTTATAGAAACTGAGCTGCGTGAGTTCAGAAGACCTTGGTGAGGACTACTTCTTTTCCAGCTGTGTGCCTGGCCTACGTCCAGGGGTAATGTGCTGAGATATTCTGGAACCCCTGACAGGTCACCAGAACATTATAAAAGCAGCATGAGGTATGTGGCCCCGACTGATGATTGATATCAAAAATTCTCTCCTAATTATTTGGCCTTGTTGTCTCATTTTCCCTCTTTCAAAAAAAGAACTCCGCTATTCAGTTTGTTTTTTTTTTTAGGCTGATTATAAGTCATTTGGCGTTATATGTGTAGGCTTTTATATATTCTCTCTTCCCTTACTTTTCCCAAGTTTATTTAAGTAGTTTCTTTACACTGTATGACATGATTCCTTAAGCACATTGAGGACATCAGCATTTAACTTTCAAGCTTCCTAACTTTAATAAAATTTGCTTGAATTAAATTCCTCTTCTATCTTGTTTAAAAATCAACTGACATTTCCCAAAAGGGTTATGGATATTGGATACAAATTTGACACCTCAAAATTCTTCTTACATGTTAGAAAACACTAGCATGGAAAGTTGTTTATTATATTTTCATAATTTAGTAACTGAGAAGTAAGCAGTTAAATTTCTTTAAAATCAGTTTTTTCCTATTGGTCTTCAACAACATAAATCGACATCTATTTGTTTATAAGATAGCTTGCTTTCCCATGCAGAAGAGGTAATAGTTTTAATTTTTTGAAATTAAGACAGAGCTTAATAAGCTGGCATACCTTTAAGTCCTTTGCCTAACAACAGTGAAAGTGGTGAATTTTACTTTTTGAAAATGCTCAGCACACAAATATGAAATGTTAACATTTATTAATTCTGATTAGGAAGTACACTGGAATTTGTTATATGATTCTTAGTAATAGTTTGTATTATCTTGTATATTTTCCCCAAATGAGATAAAGTAAATCAAAAGCTCTGCCCTAAATTGTTTCGTTTTTCTGCGAAATTAGGAAACTGGGTTACATCTTGATAAAAGAAAAAAATTTGCCCGTTTTGTTAGGTTAAATGGTGGTGGCAGGTGACAAGTTTGTAGACAAGCATAGATAACAGAATAAGGATGAATTTAACGTTAGTTCAGTTAATGAGTGCAGAAAAAAGCAATGAAAAAAAGTATTTGAAGATCATGGGTTGTCTAGAAAAGGCATAAATGTTCCCATTTACATATGACCCTCCTCAACAAAGTATAGCTTGTCACTCTGATCTTAATGATTGCTCTTTTAACAGGCAGTATCTGCAAGTACATACTTGTCATATGCCTAGTTTATATTTTTCCAACAGCTCTTCAAGTAGGATTCAAATAACAACTAAAGAAACTTGAGCTTTCCTTAAGGTTTTAGATGCTTTCCAGGCTGTTTTCGTAAAGTGTAAGGTGCAACTAATGTTGGCTGAGGAGTGGTCCTAAACTGCTGTTTCCGCTTAAACCCCTGCCTCCAGTCCATCCCATGTATTTTTGAAGGTTTACTAATTATCATCAACTCTCCTTTTCAGAATTCACTTTGCAAGAGAAGGCTGTCAGCTGGCTTTGGAGGACAAGCAGCAAGCCTCATCAGGCCGGGGAGAGGAGGGAGGGGGTCGAATGGTGGGGTTGGGGCTGAGTGCCTGCTGGGTGGGGGGGTACTTCGAGAGGGGAACCGGCGGGGAGACTGCAGTGATGCTGCCCTCCCCGGGCGGGTGCAAGCATCTCACTGGTGACGGGTCTGAAAGCACGTGGCTACGTCATGGAAAGCCAGTCTTTTCAATGCAAACTTCAACTCCTCCTCCCTTTAATGCCTGTAACTCACAGCCGAGGCTGGGCGAGGAATCCGGAGGGGAGATTTTCCCCATGCTCACCGTTGTTGGGAACTGGCGGAGCGCGAGCCAGGAGCCAGGGGGTCCGTGGCGCTGTCTACCTACGACCAGCCTGCCCAGGCACCTCGATTTACATCTTCTCTTCGTGGTGATTGAGAACTGCAGGTTCAATCCGATCCCACTGAGCACCGGCGATTGATTATTTAACAAAAAAAAAAAAAAAAATCGACACAGAGAAGGGAGGCTGTGTCTTCGGCTGTCAGACTCGGAGGTGGTATCGGTGTGTGTGTGTGCTCGTGGTGGTTTTTTCTTTTCCTTTTCTTTTTTTCCCCCCTTTTTTCTTTCTTTCTTTCCTTTTTCCTTTTTTCCCCCTTCTCTCCTAGGGACAACACAATGGCAGTCTTCTCTCAGTGAGACGAATCCTGCTTAGCCTCCTGCAGACTCACTCATCCTCATAGCGATCAAGTGAAAAGGCTATGATTTTCTCTTCGGGGATCTTTTGTGCATTCCTGTTCTCCTTGATTAACTCTGCTCTCAGTTGGGATTTCTTTGCTTTTTTGTTTGTCTTCACGCTGAAAAAGGATTTTTTGGCCAACCCTTTGGTAATATAATCCAGTGGTGATCAAGGGGGATAAAATCGTTCACCCTGGCCGAAAAAAAACAATCACTGAGGAGTCTCAAAGAAATACACCACGTGAGGGGAAAAAACTGGGAGAAGATCCGGAATATCATCGTTTTTCCTATGGTAAAACCGGCGCCCCTCTTCGGGAGAACTGATTTCAAGTTATTATTATGCAACCACAAGGATCTCCTCTTTCTCAGGGTGTCTAAGCTGCTGGGTTGCTTTCCGCCCAAATCAATGTGGTTTCTTTGGAACATTTTCAGCAAAGGAACGCATATGCTGCAGTGTCTTTGTGGCAAGAGTCTTAAGAAAAACAAGAACCCAACTGGTAAGCAAAACGTGCATCATGTTATGTTTTTCCTCCTAATAACCTGTCTGTTGCTCACTGAGCTAGATCTGCAGTTCTGCTCTGCAGGAAGGCAGGGGAGACAGCAGAGATCAGGACAGGGTAGTGTATAGAGCTATTGCATGGATAAACAAGTGACAGCTGGATCCGCGTCTCTGAGCCCCCAAACCCTTGTCAGCATCCCTTGGCTGTGACACAATCCATCACTCGGAGGGAGGAGGAAACTTTTTTTTTTTTTTAATTAATGTGTCTGGTTGCCGATGTTTGGTGAAATATTGAAGGGTTTATGGCTTAAGGTTTGGCCCGAGGCAGCTGAAGCTTCGTTCGTTGCCAGGAAAAAGAAGCCGAGAGCTCCGCCGACTTGTGCTGCAGGTTTCAGGGAGACCTAGCTTGGCTCCGAGAACCTGCTTGAGACTTTCTGATTAGCTTGCACAATATCCGCCACCCCATCACCTTTACCAAAGTAGAAGGGGCTCCCCCTCCCTCGCGGCCCCCGCCTCCCGCCCCCGTCTAGCTCGCCGTGCCGGAGTTTTAACTCCTTCCCCCGTTTTCTGCCTCCGACACCTCCTGTCACTGGGGACACTTGAGCGGGGCTCCTGTCGGGAGGGAACCCCACACCAAGCCGACAAGCCCGGTCTCTCTCTTTAATAAAGCAGTGTCCTCACCCCGCGTCTGGGTTCCCCGGGTGGGATGCGCCTGGCCCCGGGTCCCTGCTTCAGCCTCGCGGCGATCGTGCGCCCCCTTCCAAAAGGCTCCAACCGGGACACTTGCAGTACGTTACATAAGAAATGCAAATGCAGGTGATTCGGGGGAGTCGGGTCCCCGGGGCTCACTTCCCGGGATCTCAGTCTGAGGCGTTTGGGGGCGGCCGCGGAGCTGTGGGCGAGCCGCCCTGGGGAGGCCATGCCGGAGGACTGCTTGGTGGTGGCGGCGGCGCGCGGGCGCGGCGGGTCGGGGAGCGCGAGCGCTGGAGGCGGTGGGGCTGGGGGGCGGGGTGCGGTGTGCGGTGTCCCACGGTTCGGCCCAGGCCGGGGAGGGACCCGAGGGGCGGGGGGGGCGGTGTTTGTGTCTGGGGGCCGTTTTGGGGGGCGGGGGCGGGGCCCTGGCCGTCCTGCCGCGGTAGCCCGGGGCGCCCGGGGCTCCTGACGCCGGCACTGCGGTGTAGTAGATCATGGCTTCCCGCGGGCGCCCTGACACCGCGAGCTCCGCCGGGGGCGCGCTGGCACCCGGAACCTCGCCGGCCGGGCGGCAAGTGGCGGCCGCCTCCCTGCCTCTGGAGCTGGCTGATGCAGCGTAGCTGGGCGGCGCGAAAAGACGGGGAGGAGGGAGAGGAGGGAGAAGAAGGGGAGGAGGCAGGGGAGGAGGAAGAAGGGGGGGAGGGTGGGGAGGACGGCTGGGTGGGCGGGGATGGAGGGGTGGATGCGGAGCCTGGGTCCCCCTTGCGGCCCCCTGTGCTGCTGTCCAGAGGGCGGGGAGGACGCCAGGCTGTTGCCTTCTGCCGGGACCTTTGGGTGGCAGTTGAGGGAAGCTCTGGGCGGCAGGGTGCTGCAGTGGCCCCCTGCCTCCGACCTGGAGTTCTCAGCTCCCTGCTCCGTCTTGCTTGACCCGCTTTCTCTCCGTCCCCCTCTCCTCTTTCCCCACCACCCGCTCCATGCCCTTTCCTACAACTCTCCTCTCTCTTAACTCCTCAGCATTTAGCAACTCTGAGATGGTACCACCATCCCGAGCATCATCCAAGGAGAAAGCCGTGTGGTCACCTCACCAGCCGCATTTCCAGTTGGGCGGGGAGCTGTGGGTACCCCAACCAAGTAGGCATCAGGCCCAACACTTGCTGATGGTCTGGTCATACCCAGATATGCAACACTACCGTCTCCCAAGTTCACGCCAAGACCCTTGAGGCAAGGGTTACTCCCTCACACAGTCAGATCAGTGGTCTGTGAAGCCTTCTTGTGTCCTGTGAAAAGATTTATCTCCCTCTGAGAAAGGAGTACTGTAAAAGCATTTCTTTGGACTTGGCCGTTTGTTTAGAGATCTCGAATCTGTCCCTCCATAGTGCTGAGAGTGGGCAGTAATTCAGCAGGGAACAGTAAGTTTCCTTAATGCCTTTTATAAATTTTATTTATTTATTTTTTTTTTGGTAAATAGTTTTACTGGAAACACTAATTTTCACCCATACACGATTCAAGATCTTTTTATTACACCTCCCCCACCCCACCCACTTTCATCTCTCTGGAATAAAGTAGTTTTTTTTTTTTTTTTTGCTTCAAAGGCGTTTTAGAAGGTGTCAAACAAATGATGAGTTATTTTTAGAGTGATTTATTTTGCAGCTTATGAATGCTAAAGTGCTTGAGTGTGAATTGATGGGTTAACTCAAACTGTGTCTAACAATGCCTAAACTACTTGAATAGGATAGTTTAAGTCTTAGAATGCCAGGGGTGAAAGTGCCAACCTGGGAGTTGGAGCATTTCGTAAATCGTTTTAAAAATGGGACTTTGATGTGTCACACTATTTGTCTCGCCTTCTAAAGTTTTGCCTTCCGAGATTGAATCAAACCTGTGCCTAGCCATTCACTTTCAGGATTGTAGCTGGTAAATTCTCTTCTCATTCTGCTGTTAACACGAGGCCTAAAATCGTTCTGATCCCAAGATAGCAGTATAACCAAGAAGTTAATTGGGTAATTAAAATAAAACAAAGACTAAAATCTTCTTAACTGTTAAAACCAAAAAGAACAGATTGACTACTACCTATTATATTATCTTAGATCTCAAATGAGGACAATTAACTGGTTTCAAACCAAGAAGCTTGGCAGAACACCTCCAAGTACCAGTACTAGGATCATGAATTTGCTCTAAAGACTTCTTATTAGAGGAATCTTTTTCCTCCCAATTTTTCCAAGTTATAAAATAATTTACTGCTTATTCCTAGCGCTTTATTAGGAAGTACAGACAGTTTGCTCTGGGGTTCCTGAGAGAAATGTCAGAGTATTGCTATATAACCAGGTTGCTGTGGAAATAAGCAAATAATAGAGTCATAAACTTAAGGGCATTTTATTCACCTACCCAAAAGTCATTGATTAGTGTTTAAATAAGAAGTGATAATTAAATAGGGTTTTACTGGTAGTTGTTTTTTATATAAAACTTAAATGGAAAAGAGCATGAAGAATGCATTTGTACAATATATGCTTTTTAAATTGCAATAGCTTAGAAATCTTGGATAGAAAGTAAATTTACTGTCTTCATAAAGATGTCCAATATCTCACAATACAGCTATTATCAGACACACAGTCACACACACGCGGGTGCCCATGCTTCTGCTTAAATGTCCTACTTTCTTCTATTTTCCTAGTAGAGGAATAGCTATATGTTTAGAATAGATGTTACCTGCTTTAACTTTCACTGCATGAGTCATGCAAAGGGACTCTATTTTAGGCAGATCATTAAGTAGGGAATACTGAGTCCAAGGCACTTATTTTGCCTGGAGGAGGGCTTGATCTGTTTGTTTAAACTAGTACTGATAGTTTGGACTGACCAATGTGTATCCCAGGCCAGTTTGGGAAATAATCTAGGTCACTAAACTTTGACTGATGGCTGCTAAGGAAATAAATACTGTTGGAAAAAAGAAGTCCGCAATAAAGATAAATAGGAAGATCATGTCATGGATGTCTATTCAGATACTGTCCAACAAAGGAAGCCACAGATGTGCATATATAGTAAGTCCCCTACATACGAATGAGTTCCAAGAATTTGTTCTTAAGTCCAATTTGTTCGTAAGTCTGACAAAGTTAGCCTAGGTACTCAAGAATCAACTATATAGTATTGTACTGTAATAGGTTTATAGTACTTTTCACAGAAATAATACATAAAAAACAAACACAAAGTGCAGTGCAACAGCCGGCATACAGGAGCTGGCACTGAGAGAACGAACAGGTAAGCAGAGTCACTGACAGGAGAAGGGAGAGGAGGCGGGAGATGGCAGAGCTGACGGATTTTCAGCAATAGGCCAGAGTGTGCAGTGTGCGCATGTGTGCTCAGGTGCTGAGTCGTTTCCAACTCTTTGCGACCCCATAGAGGAGACAGAGGGCAAACTGCAATTGCACTCACACTCGACAGGTTCTGGTTCCTTGCTGGATTCAATTCCGTCTACCCTCTTAGAAAAGGGATCCAGTGATGTCTGAGTACAACCTGGGCTTGAAATAAAGATACTGTACTATTGTACTCTGTACAGTACTGTG